ATGCCCTACCTGCTGAGCTATCACTCCAGCCCCAGTGATAGGAAATCTTTAACTCTGTTGTAGATGTGTGTCCATGCATTTTTTTGTGGTATGGAAAAACCCGTATTTTTTTGAAAGTTATAGTATTTGCAGTATGTTTTATGACCAGTGCTTTATTTTGATCTTAATTTATAAATTTTCAGCAGCAAATGAATTTTTTAGCAAATGAAATTTTAAGTGTTCAGCTTTAGTTATTACACAGATAATTAAAGATTTCAGGAAACTTCTTGATTTTTGTTTGACCTCACGTTGCCTGGCAAAGTAAGAGGAAATAGCACTTACAGATCTAGGAAACCAAAGCAAGTTTGTGAAACTGCGTAGTGATAGAGGATTGCTGTGGGAAACTGTAGATAGGTTTTCAACTTCTACTCATGTGTAATGGCATCCAAATAGAAGTTCGTTTTCTATAACTGACATTAATGTGAAATTGACACCTCAGGCTCTTTAAAGAGTTTCTAAGTATATTTGTGTAATTGTGTTTCACCATTAGCTGATTTTGTTCCTCATTAGTGCAACCAATGTTTGATAGACAATTATTGATTTTGTTAACCCAAACAGTTTTATTTGTGTTTTCTGTAAGTAATCAAATAGAATATGAATAAAATGCAATGGTAAGAATTAGCATATTATTTGGACCAGATGAAAGTGCCATAGAAGATGAATAATAGTCTTTTAGTCGAGGCTAGTCTGGAGTCTTTTGTTAGAACAACATTCAATTATTGCAATTTATTTTTAATTACTAAGAAATATAGTATTTGGATTTTTAATCTTTTGCTCTGTTCTTCATCTTATTTTTATTAGGACTATTAAAAGACTAGTAAAAACAGCAATCTACATTTTTGCAAAGGAATTGAATTTACTACTTTCTTGCTAGTCAGAAATAGTAGACTGTAATTTTAAAAATATGTGAGCTTAAATATTGCACTTCTTTTTAAGATGTTATCAATATTTAGTTTTAATAATGTTTGAAACCCTTTAACAATCTTTATAAATTTTAACTCATTTTAGTTGGAATTCAGTTCTATTTTCATAGGTCACGGTCACGGTCCTCCCGTTATTCATCGATTTGCTCGAGCGGGCCCAGTAACATCTTCATCGTGATACTTGTTGTTACTGTGTTTGGCATATCGAATACTTCACGGGTAGCTTGCCAGGCTCTGCCGTGAGGGCAAGATACTCTCGGTAGCTTGCCGGGCTCTCCGAGAGGGGTGGAGGAATTGAACTTGGGTTGGCCATGTTGGCTGCGTGCAAGGCAAATGCCCTACTGCTGTGCTATCGCTCCAGCCCTATTTTCATAGGAATGAAATTTTTTTTTTTTGGCTTTTTGGGTCACACATGGTGATGCACAGGGGTTACTCCTGGCTTTGCACTCAGGAATCACTCCTGGCGGTGCTCAGGGGATCATATGGGATGCTGGGAATTGAACCCGGGTTGGCCGCGTGCAAGGCAAATGCCCTACTCGCTATGCTATCACTCCACTCCAGCCCAGGAATTGATTTTTATATAGTAGAAAATATGCTTTGTTTTTTTAAAAATCATAGTGTGTTGTAATCTCTTAAACACAATACCTTTTTTTTTTTATTAGTAAAACACCATGAGGTTCAGTTGTAGACTTACAAACTTTTGTGCTTTGGTTTCAGTTATACAGTGATCTGGTACCTATCCCTCCACCACTGCCCATTCTCCACCACCAATGATCCCAGTAGCCCTCCCACCCCTCCACCCCATCCACCCCCATCCTGCCCCACCTATTTGGCAGGGCATTCCCTTTTGCTCTCCCTTTCCTTGAGGTTGTTGTGGTTTGCAATAGAGATATTGAGTGGCCATTGTGTTCTGTCTATAGTCTACTTTCAGCACACAATCTCATATACTGAGTGAATCCTAAAACACCCTTTACTTGGTGTTCCTTTCTATATCTGAGCTCCGTTTTCCCCCAGCATGTGTTACCAGCTTCCAAGCTGTGGAGCCGACCTGGTACTTATCTCAACTATTCTTGGGTGTTTGTCTCCCATTCTGTTACTTTATATTCCCCAGATGAATGCAGTCTTTCTATGTCTGTCCTCTTTCTGACTCATTTAACTTAGTATGATACTTTCCATGTATAACCACTTATATGCAAATTTCATGACTTCATCTTTTCTAACAGCTGCATAGTATTCCATTGTGTAGATGTACCAAAGTTTCTTTAGCCAGTCATCTGTTCTCGGGCACTCAGGGTTTTTTCAGTTTTTTTTTTTTTTCAGATTTTGGCTATTGTGAACAGTGCAGCAATGAAAATACAAGTGCAAATGTCATTTCAACTGTACTTTTTTGTCTCTCTGGGGTATATTCCCAGGAGTGGTATCGCTGGGTCAAATGGGAGCTCACTTTCTCATTTTTTGAGAATTGTCCATACTGTTTTCCAAAAGGGCTGAACCAGTCGGCATTCCCACCAGCAGTGAAGGAGAGTCCCTTTCTCGCCACATCCACGCCAACACCGATTGCCTTTGTTCTTTTGGATGTGGGTCAGTCTCTGTGGTGTTAGATGATATCTCATTGTTGTTTTGATCTGCATCTCCCTGATGATTAGTGATGTAGAGCATTTTCTCATGTGTCTTTTAGCCATTCGAATTTCTTTGAGAAATTTTCTGTTCATTTCATCACCCCATTTTTTCATGGGGTTGGATGTTTTCTTCTTGTGGAGTTCAACCAGTACTTTGTATATCCTTGATATCAACCCATTATCATATGGGTATTTTGTGAATATCCTTTCCCATTCTGTATTTTGGTCACTATTTTTTTTGAGGTTCAGAAGCTTCTTAGTTTAAGATAGTCCCATTTGTTTATCTCTGTTTTCGCTTGCTTGGCCAGTGGCGTGTCATCTTTGAAGATACCATTAGCTTCAATGTTGTGGAGGGCTTGCCAACCTTGTCTTCAATATACCTTATCGATGCCAATCTGATGTTGGGGTCTTTAATCCATTTTGATCTTACTTTTGTGCATGGTGTTAGGTAGAGATCTGAGCCCATTTTTTTGCATGTATTTGTACAGTTTTGCTAGCACAATTTGTTAAAGAGGCTTTCCTTGCTCCACTTCACATTTCTTGCCCCCTTATCACAGATTAGGTGATCATATATTTGAGGGGGTGGGTGTCAGCATACTCAACCCTGCTCCATTGGTCTGCGGCTCTGCTTTTCTTCCAGTACCATGCTGATTAAACACTATACTTCTTAATAATATTTTTAGTCTTCTTTTTTTATTTTTGCCTTTTGGGTCACACCTGGCAATGCACAGGGGTCACTCCTGGCTCTGTGCTCAGGAATTACCCTTGGCGGTGCTCAGGGGACCATATGGGATGCTGGGAATCGAACCCAGGTCGACCACTGCAAGGCAAACGCCCTACCCGCTGTGCTATTGCTACAGCCCCCTTTTAGTCATTTTTTATGGACAAAGTAAGAGATATATTAAGCTTTTAAGGTGGCTCTTCTGGGGACATCTCACTATACATCCCAGACTACAGTCCTCAAGCCATATTAGTCCTTGCTAACCCCAGCTGGGTCCTTATCTAATTACTTCTTTTGGGATCATGACAGAGTTTGTCCATGGCCATGCTCTTGTTATAAGTTTTATGGCACTTGGCCTGTTCCTTTTTGATGTCAGGGTAGCTTACAGCTTGCCCTGGGTCCATCCAAGTCCCTTCATTGGGACTCTCCTTTTGGGTGCAGAAACTAAGGGCAACTGAGGCTTATGTCAGGTAAATCTGATGGATGCCCAACAGTAAACATTAGTTAGAGTCAGTTAACTCCCAAGTTACAAAAACAGCATTGATTGCCTTCCTGTGTCTATACAAAAAATGATATTGCTGTAAGTAAACTATGCAAAAAACATAAATGAAAGAAGAAAACAGTATTTCATTTTCATATACAAAATCCAGATTCCTAGAAGAATCTGGTCTTATAAGTCACAGGGTCTGATTTTGGGATATAAGTGATTAACATATAGGGGAAGCAGAAGACAAAGGAGAATTTAAATATAAACACAGGAATGGGAGTACTTTGGAAGTTCTGTCATGGGTGTAACTCAGTAAACCTAAGCTCCCTGTAGTGAGGTAGAAAGAATGGTGGATAAAGGATGAACCAGTGTTATCCTATGTTAAATACAAAAATAAATGAAATTAGATTTGAATGGGACTGGAACGATAGCACAATGGCTAAGGCATTTGCCTTGCACGCGGCTGACCTGGGTTCGACTCCTCCGCTCCTCTCAGAGAGCACAGCAAGCTACTGAGACTTGCCCGCACTGCAAAGCCTGGCAAGCTCCCCGTGATGCATTTGATATGCCAAAAACAGTAACAAGTCTCACAATTTGTTGTGAGACGTTACTGGTACCCGCTCGAGCAAATTGATGAACAATGGTAGGACAGTGCTACAGTGCTAAATGCTACAGTGCTGGATTCGAATGTATAGAAACCCAGTGAATAGGACGTAAATAATATGGTGAAAGTAGTGGAACTAGTGCATTTGTCCACATGAATCATGGGCATGAAATTATAATAACAGTTATATATGTTATAGACATATATGTACATGTGGGTTTTTTTTGTGTGTGTGTGGTATACAACTCTAATTGTGTCAGTCTCTCAACTGTCTTTATAAACAGTAGTTGGCTTGAGTAAGAAACATGTATTTACCTCATCAACAGTGTTGGGAAAGAATGTAATCCATTGAAACATTTAAGTTGGACATAATCTTTAATACCCTGCCATAGTATAGACTTTCTATTTTTGGGTTGTGGCAATGTAGTTTTATTAGACTGCAGCCCTCCCTTGAATTTTAGCCTGTGATGTAGTAGTATGACATAATGTTATATGATTTATTTCCTTTTGTTGTGGTTTTATTAGACTGCAGACCACCATTGAATTTAAGTCTGTGATATGTTAGTGTGACATAATGTTATATGACTTATTTCCTTTTGTTGTCTAGTCATCTCTAAATTGCTCTGAAACAGCCCTAATTCGTATAGCCGATATTTTGACAAGAATTGCATCTATGGAAGAAGGACTTAACTTACTTCTTCATAGTGAAAACATGAGTTCTTCAGATGGGAAAAGGTATGTACCTGTTGTGATTTAAATAATTTGTGTAGTTTGTAGCATATTTTCTCTATCTGATTGAAAGTTGCTGGAATGCCATGCTTTATGTTAATGAAAATTTAGGTAGTTATTTCAGTTATGGTTAAATTTTCTGATTAGCCTTTAATATCGTCATAGAGAATCTTCAGATGGTAGAACCAACTAGGATTATGTACTATTCAGGTAGAGTTATATCTTGATGCCTCTAATTAGAAAATGAGAAAAAAAGTGATTACTTCGAGTGACCACAAAATAGCTGCTATATTGATAAAACTGTCTGTTTCTTTTCTCTTCTTTTCTTTAATGTTGGAGTGCTGCTATTTTGTCCCTATTTCTTTCTCCTTTGGACTTTATTATTTTAAATGTCTAAATCTATAAGTGATAAATTCAAGTCTAGCCACACAAAGGTGCATAAAGGAAAAACTGCTTCCTCATAATTTTTGCTATCCTTACTTAGCTCTATCTCCTTGCCTGACCATTGACAGCATTTTGATATTTATTCTTGTATACTTTCTCTATGCCTATCACTAAATCAAATATATATACATGTAAAACTTTTACCTTCTGTTTATAAAATTGGTTTCATGTTACTTATATTACTGAAAACTTTAACTTTTTATTTTATTTAAAATAATTTATTTTTATAAGGTTGTTTACAATAATTTATTACATTCAGTATTCAGCACCAATTCTATCACCATTACAACTTACTCACCACCATTATTTTGAATTTTCCCAACCATCACCCAAGCCTGCCCCAATACCAGGCCCTAAGTAATTTATTTTGTATCTTGTTATGAATAATTTTCTAAAAATAATCAAAAAATTTTTTCTTAGAAGAAAGTATGTAAAGATTGTTGTATCTCACCCGGGAGCCATTGAGCCCTTGTATAAAAAAAATTACTAAGATGTTATTACAGGTTGAGCCTTGTGTTCTAATATTTTTTTTAAATTGAGATCGGTTGCCTTCTGCCTTGTATCCTATACAATGTGTGTTACTCCAGGTATATCAGTGATAAAGACTATGACTGTGCACATTTGTGGCTGCATACTCCAGAAATTCTAAAATTTTAAATAATGTGATACTGCTGTAGCTATATTTTTAACCAGGTGGCGACTTTGAGTATATAAGACATTTTCATGGCTTGTTGATCTCTTCTGAAATTTATTTGTGAGTCTCTGAATGATGGCTGGTTTATGAGCAGTTCGTGGTGGGACTGCCAGGCTCTTGAAAGAACAGGAAGATGGGTGGAAGTTGCCCATCCCCAACTCTGTAACAACCCAGAGATTTCAGTCACAAAACCCTGATACCTGCATTTTTCAGCAGACCCACTTATGGATTAGGTTCTTCCCGAGCCTATGGAGATGACCTTGAGCAAGGTGGCTATTAGGTTCTGGAGGTTTTCGCCTGCTGGGGCTCTGTTATGGCAGGTGGTGGGACTCACCTGCTCCACTCTGGGGTGACCCACATATGAGGTTCACACTGGTGTAGGTCTGGAGGCATCTCTCAAAACCTTTCTTTTTATATGTAATTCTAGTTATATGTAATACTTAGGTGAGTATAAGACAAAACCTTTATTTATTTATTTATTTATTTATGGATAAAGTATTTATTAAGGAAAAGAAAATAGAGCAAAGACACTCCTACTAGAACAGAGAGTGGGGCTCCAAGGGGAACATCTTAGAACAAAGCATTTGTAATAAAGCCTTAATATATCTTGATGCTGCTTTACTATAATTTATTCACAATTTCCCATCTATCACTAGCCACCAGATTAGATCTAGGAATTTTTCTCTATGAAGAATGTTGCAATCAGAGTTTTTTTTTTCTCCTGTAGGTAAAGTGAATTACATGAATTTGTTTTTAAAATACTGAACCAGTTTTCTATGCCCAATTATGGTATGCTGCACTAAATCTCAATTTTGTTGGAACATATAAATTCTTTATTATACTTTTGGATTTGATTTGATAGTACTTATTGAGGACTTTTGTATCTGTGAGATATATCATTCTGTAATTTTTGTAATCTTTTGTCTGAATTAATACTTACAAGGTCATAATTATAATAATCACTTAGGGGTATTTTCTCTGCTTGCATTTTTAGATGAGAGTATAGAAAATTGGTATATAATCTTCCTTAAATGTTTGATAAAATTTCCAGTGAACTTATTTGAATCTGGTGTTTTCTGTTTGTTTAATGACATTAATTAATTGTACAGTGATAGATATTTGTTAATAATTAAATATGAATATATATTTACTTAATTTCTGTTGTGTTAGTTTTGTCATGGTGTTTCTTTCAATAATTTAGTACACTTATTTAATTTTCCAAATTTGTGGGCAAAAATTCATAATATTCCATTATTATCCTTTTCTTTTTCTTTTTTATTTTTTTTTGGTATGGGAAGAGATTTAGATCACACCCATTGATGCTCATGGATCATTCCTGATTATGTTTGGGGGACTATATGTGGTGCCAAGGATTGAAATGGGGTTTTCCACATGTGAGGTAGTACCTTCACCCCTGAATTATGTCTCTGGCCTACCTTTATTATTCTCTCAGTGTTAATGGGATCAATTTTAATGACCCTCTTTTGGTATTTTTATTTTTTAACCTGAGACTAGTGGTTTATAACTTTGTTTTGGCTTATTTTTGGGCCACACTTAGTGGTGCTCAGGACTTACTCGTGGCTTTGCACTCAGGAATCACTTGGATGTTAGTCTCATACTTTTGTTTTTTATACCCCCAAATGAGTGCAGTCATTTTTTATCTGTCCCTCTCTCATTTCATTCAGCATGGTACACTCCATATCCATCCATTTATAAGCAGATTTCATGACTTTATTTTTCCTAATAGCTGCAGAGTTTTCCATTGTGTAGATGGACCATTATTTTTTTTATCCAGTCATCTGTTCTTGGCCACTTGGACTGTTTCCAGATTCTGGCTATTGTGAATAGTCCTGCACATAAGTGCAGATGGTATTTCTTCTGAGTGTTTTGGGGTTCCCCAGGGTATATTCTCCGAAGTGGTTTTGCTGGGTCAAAAGGGAGCTCATTTTCTCCACTAGACATTTTCTGAACAAGATTCTGATTGTGTAGACAAATCTATCAAGTTGATCAGTAGCTTTCTGTGAGAACAAGTGCATTGCTGAGACTTTGCTGTCATCTTGAGGTCATGATAGAATTGAAGTCATGACATGCTTATTTCTCCCTCTGAAGAAGTTGTTAATTTCCATAAATACTTACACAGATAATTTCCCTAGGACAAAAACATCTTATGCTTCTTCAGTGAATGGGCGTGTGGCAATGGTAGCACACAGGGCCCTCCCTTCTCTGGGCCCCCTTGTACTTCTTGGTGTTGAACTGGCCTGGACTCTTCTGTTCCTTTGCCTTTGCAGGGAATTTGTATGGTGCACTTCTGTGCCTGCGTAATCAGGAGCTGCCCTGTCTCATACCATCTTCCAGAAGTCTTAAAACCTTTCTCTCAGGGCCAGGGAGAGAGTACGGAGGGCAGGGTGTTTGCTTAGCATGTGGGCGACCTGGGTTCTCTCCCTCTCATCTCATATGGTTCTCAGAGTGCCACCAGCAGTAATTCCGGAATGCAGAGCCATCACCAGTGTGAACCAAAGAACAAAAACGAACAAATAAGCAAACAAACAAAAAAACCCCTCAGAAACCCTTTCTCTCTTCCCATACTTGCGATAGTTCAGGGGATTTTCTTTTTGTGAGGTTGACAACAACATTGCTGTCTTTAATTTCCTTTTCCATAAGCTATAAAAGTACTTTTTAGGTACTTTTTCAATAATTACATAAAAGTATGTTAATAAAAATATATTACATACTTTCTAAAATAATATCTATACTGGCTTATTTCAGCCAGTATGGACATTCCAAAATCATATTTCAGGATCAGAGGAAGATGCACATTTTGCATAGATGCTCTTGGATTATTTCTTAAAATGTTGTAGGATTTTACCTTCTTGCCAGCAGTATGTATTCTTTCTTGGGCTATATAATAGTCTGTAGGTGCTTTGGAAGCTGAATGAGTTAGAGATATTTTGATCCATCTTTAATTGACCTTATTCACCTTTAGCACTTCATTGCTCTTTTGAGATCGTTACTGGCTAATTTCATTTCCTGATAGTAACATTTCTTTGCATACCATTTTCTACTTTTTGTTCAGTTTTTTATTGACTCAGTGATATCTATGTACAGAAAATATGCAAGCTATAAAAAAAAAAAGAATTCCTTTCTGCTTTCCAGAGTGCTTACTTCCAGCAGCTTTAGAGTTTTATCTTTTTACTTCTATATCATTAAATAATGTGGTATAATACTTCTTAGTTTTAATTTTGGGCATTATCCATTACTTCAAAGATTTATTTTATTTTTTATACCCCACTGACCACAGTACACACAATAACCCATACATCTCCCTGCCCCCACTGGATCAGTGCAATAAACTTCAACAATAAATTGCCTTGGTCAGAGCCATACTGTATTCATCTTATCATAATCAATCTTCAAAGCCCAGCCATGTGATTCATTTTCTTTCATAACTTTTCTCTGGAGTTGTTAATTTTCTTTCTTTTGTTGGCATAAGTTTCAATGTAATTAACTTTTGCTGCATAGCTAAATCATCTGCATGCTCTAATTCTTCTCAGTCTATTCAAATTCTGTCAGTTTAATTTTATTTAAAAAGCACTAGTTTTTAAGCCTTATGAATGGCTTTGTCCAGAACTGGTTGCTGCCTTGTTCTGGAGCATAAGCTCCCTCTGTCCCCCCAGTTTTTATTGAGGCACTGTGATTTGCAATACTGTTAATGATGGAGTTTCACGCATATAATGTTTAAGCAGCACACTCTCCACCATGTTCACCCCTCCACCACTGTCCCAAGGTCCCTTCTTAGCCACCATAAACTCAGTTCTGTAGACCAATTGTCAGCTTTTGTTGCCTTGAACAGTTGTTATCCTGAAAACAA